GATATGTAGGGTTTTTGTAATGGTACACCTAGGATTGTTAGGAACGAAAAACGCACAGGTCGATGCCCTCTACACAGGTCGGATTTCATATATCTCCGTATGTCCCATTTTTGTCACAATTTAAACTAATCATTGTGGTTTCTGTAATATGGCACTGTAATTCGGTAGTTAATCGAATGCGTAACATTTCGAGTGGATCTGCTTCAAACGACGGACCATTTGTATATGTAGGAAATTCTTTTGAATCGCAAGGAATTCAGTCGCTTCAATGGCTCACAGTTGCTTGTGTAGTTAAGCAGGCTTGGCGGTTTGACCGTGGCATAGTATGTGCACACCTGTTAATTGATGTAGACAGTTCGTTTGTCAATTAATTGTGACCGTAAGATTATTCTGCTTCGATTCCGTCCTACAGTCATAATCGAATAATTTCCTACAGTAATTCACGTGGTTCGTTAGATAGAGCTGTCACTTGGGGCACGTTTTGAAAGCTGAAATGATGTAATCGAGTTTGTAAGCTAACCTAATGCTGTCATTGTTTAATTTCACGAGCATTTCAACCAGATCCTCTTCATCCGTAAGATGATGAATAGCCACAAGGAGAAGAACATTTGATATCCAGTTTTTCATCATTTTGATGGGAAAATTTGACGAGTCTTGTCAATTTTTGGAGAATATTACATCAAGTAGGCTGTAATTTTTAGAAAATCTTATAAGTAAATAGTTTCGATTTAAACGATTTGCATTCTTTGAATTCACTCGTTCAGTGTCGTTGTTTTCTGGCTGCTTTTTCGTGAAAAGAAATTCTCGGTCTGGTTGATTTTCCAGCTAATTCGAGCGAAGTAATCTGCTGGTTTCGTTCAGGAATACAGTTCGTGGTCGATGCATCGTCAACTGTATGCATTTGGTTATGGTGGCGATGGACAATTGGGTAATCGTGCATTTTTGAGTGGTGAAGATGGCAGTTTCGTTAAAACACCTCAACGGGTAGTGGGTGCCCCGACTACATATGAAGGAGTTTCTGTACAAGCCATTGCCACCGGTGAAAAGCACACGTTGTTCCTTGCCGATGACGGAAAGGTATGTATATCAACTAATACTTTCAAATTCTTTCTCAAAATCACCAACTTTTCTTAAAACTAACCAGCCCACCACACAGACGAAAGGCACGAGAACACTGCCTGATCATTTCTTGTCCATTCGTATTGTGCTGAAGATCAAAAATAGACTAAGTGGATCAGTAATTTGGCGGATGATGCTGGTCAATGCAATTGATCATTACATCGTTGTGCTCAACACCTTTCGATCACTTCTTTCCGAAATGAGATTGTGTGATCAATAGATGGCATAATGAATCGATCCTATGAATATCTTAATGAATCCAATAAGGATATCCCTCATTTATGAGAATATCAAAATATCTGCATAAAATCCGTACAGAAATGCATAACGCATCAGAGATTGAATATTTATTCGCTCAATGAAGTATGATTCACATAACTGTATGAAAAGCAATTTCATAATGATGATTCATATTCACTCATATTCATATGCAATTATAATAGCAGTAGCCGAATTCATCAAGATGAAAATTCAATAGTGACATCAGAAATAATCATACTGATAACAATATCCTACTTATTTGACACATCTGTATGGAAAGAATACATTATACGGGTAATACACTAATATAACCACATGATGCAAAATCTGTAATCGATATCCACTCTGTGGTTCGAATATTCGAATGTTTAAGCGATTGAAAATTTCTAGATTTTTAAACACGATTTCCGGAAATGGAATCTAGAGTAATCATTTGTTGTTCTTGAAGGTATGAAACGATGATGATAAGAGGATAGATTTTGTCAGCATTGTGATAAGACAATGATATATTGCTGAATACATTGATATTTTTGCAAGGCAATAATAAGAATGAATCGTGATACTTGTCAGGTGTGGTCGTGTGGAAGTAATGAAAACGGTGAACTGGGCCGAGGAGGTTGTCAAGAGGGTTCATTCACAATCTATCCGGTGTTATTGTCTGTCGGCATGAGAATCATACAGATCGCCGTTGGACGTGCGCATAATATGGCTGTCTCGGATGACGGTCGTTTATTTGCATGGGGCAGT